CTTATTGAAATACTCTTAGAACTTTTCAGTCTATGAACAGTTCATGTAGAAAAACCAAAGACAATTAGTTAGCATGTCCTTATACCACTTTTCCAATGATAATCTAAAAATGTTAACAAAAGAAAGTCTGAGTTTTCCCATTTGGTATTAAGTACTATAATATATCTTAAGATACATTTTTCTCTACCCATAACGAAACCAAACCCCCCCCCATGTTTTGCACTTGTGCAAGTATGTGAAATAAAATAAATACAAGGTGGCAGGGAATAAGCACGACAATAAAACTTGGATTAAATTTACCTCTCAAAGCCAGGTCTATTTAATTTCTCAGCATTTGCTGCTATATAATTTTTAATTCCATGTATGTGTTTCTCTGCTCTAAATGATAACTGACTGCCACTCCTGCTTCTGGTCCTTGGGCAACTCCCTTTTCCCAACAATCTACTCACAGATAAGTAGTATGCACAAGGCCCTAATAGTCCTCCATCCCAGGTCCCCGTCAACTTATCATTAAACTGCTTCCAGTCTGTCTCCACCTGATTCTTCTGTACTTCATCTCTGTATTTCATCTAATGGTCTGACTTCAGCCTTTCTGACTTATGCTTATGTTTGCTTCCTGGCATTTGACTTCTGTGCTGCCTTCGGCTCACCCTCCAGTTCCTAGCTGTGAACATTTATTCCCTCTGACTGGCAGCTAGGAACCACTGGCACAACCACTGGAAGCAGGCCTAAACACTAGTTTTATAGTATAAACATCCATTTATCCCATCCCTTCAACAAGCCTTCTTCATCACCCTATGTATAAAGTACTAGAGTAGTTTCTGGAGCATACAAACGATTAATAAGCTACAGAAAACTCCTTTAGGTAGGCAAGTAATACAAGTACATATCACATATACTCGCGCATAAGCTGACCCAAATATCAGCCAAGGCACCTAATTTTATCACAAAAACTGCATTAAAAATGTGCTGGAAAATGGCTTATACACGAGTATATATGGAACTTAATTCTTAGGATGTTATATGTACAAATAAGATGCCCCTCCCCCAGAAGAATTTATTTCAGAGGACAGCACTGAAGCTGCAGCTAAGGGACAGGGACATGTCTTATCAGAGCACACGGGAGCAAATGAAGGGGGAGACAGTGGAGCAAATCCTGGCCCACCAAGTCTTGACGACAATATTCCCACTCAGAGCAGCCAATCCACAGAGAAGACCATATGGCCGGCCCTACTATGAGACACAACATCCCTCACTGACCCACAATCCTACAGGGGACAACACTGGAGACACAGAAAGCAAAACACTAAGGGCGTGCAACAGAACAGCAAGGGGAACAGAGCAACAAAGTCCCCAAGGAATACCTAAAATAGACTTTGGGGCCAGGGCTTGGCACCCCATCAGACTTGACCGGAAAACACTCCTAAAGGCCAAGAAACAGTCCTTGAACTAACTACAAGCTTTTCTTTTTTGTTGTGTTGTGGGTTTTTTTGTTTTGTTTTGTCATTGGCTTTTTGTTGTTTTGTTTTCTTTTGTTGCTTGGTTTTGCTCTGTCTTATTTTTGTGCATGTTATTATCTCCGCAGATCTGTCTAAATAAGATAGGCTGGATGAATACTCTGGAGGAGAAAATAACGGAACCAACAGTTCTGGGGGGACATAGGAGGGGGGGGGGGGAAGAAGTGGTTTTAACAACCCCAGGGACAAGGGAACAACAAGTGGTCCAATTCAGTGGTGAGGAGGGTGTAGGAGGCCTGGTAGGGCGTGACCAAGGGTAATGTAACTGAGATGAATTACTGAAACCCAAATGAAGGCTGAGCATGATTGTGTGACAAGAGGAAAGTCAAAGGAAACAGAGGAAAGAGCTAGGAGGCAAAGGGCATTTATAGAGTCTAAATACAGGCATGTACATATGTAAATATATGAGGATGGGGAAATAGACTTATGTGCATATATTTAAGGTAGCAGATGGACATTGGGCCTCCACTCAAGTACTCCCTCAATGTAAGAATACTTTGCTCTATTAAACCGGCATTCTATGATGCTCACCTTCCCAACACAATTGCTGAAGACAAAGCAGGTGCATAAGCAAATGTGGTGAAGAAAGCTGATGGTGCCTGGCTATCAAAATATACAGTGTCTAGAGTCTCAAAGGCGTGAAGATAAACAAGCGGCCATCTAGCTCAGAAGCAACAAAGCCCACATGGAAGAAACACACCAGCCTGTGTGATCACGAGGTGTCAAAGGGATGAGGCATTAGGCATCAAAGAACAAAAAATTATATCATTGTGAAGGAGGGGGAGTGCGGAGTGAGGAGGCAAAGCCCATCTATAGGCAACTGGACATCCCCTTACAGAAGGGTCACGGGGAGGAGACAAGCCAGTCGGTGCAGTGTAGCAACGATGAAACATACAACTTTCCTCTAGTTCCTAAATGCTTCCTCCCCAGCCACCCACCCCTCCCCCACTATCATGATCCCAATTCTATCTTACAAATCCAGTAAGACCAGCAAGAGGATGTACACTGGTACAGATAGGAACTGGAAACACAGGGAATCCAGGACGGATGATCCTTCAGGACCAGTGGTGAGAGTGGTGATACCGGGAGGGTGGGGTAGAAAGGGGGAACCGATTACAAGGATCTATATATAGCCTCCTCCCTGCGGGACAGACAACAGAAAAGTGGGTGAAGGGAGACATCAGACAGTGTAAGATATGACAAAATAATAATTTATAAATTATGAAGGGTTCATGAGGGAGGGGAGTAAATTAGGAGCTGATGCCAGGGGCTTAAGTGGAGAGCAAATGTTTTGAGAATGATGAGGTTATCGAATGAGCAAATGTGCTGTACACAATTGATGTATATATGGATTGTGATAAGAGTTTTATGAGCACCCAGTACAATGATTAAAAAATAACAAAATGAAGAGAAATAAGACAGTAATTGAGAAAGGCTTTAAATAGAGAAATTTTTAATCTGAGAGTTAAGGGTAAGGGTGAGGGGGAGACATTCTTGATTAGTGCCTGGGGTAATGGATCGTGGATTTGAAAAGATTTCAGAACACTGACAGATGACATCTTACACTTGACCAGTGGTTCTCAACCTTCCTAATGCCATGACCCTTTAACACAGTTCCTCATGTTGTGGTCACACCCCGACCACAAAATCATTTTTGTTGCTACTTCATAACTGTCATTTTGCTACTGTTACGAATCGGGAGACCCCTATATGAAAGGGTCATTCGACCTCCAAAGGGGTTGTGACCCACAGTTTGACAACCGCTGCCTAGACTTTAAAGATGGGGTAGGATAGAAACCATGAGAGAGCATTATAAAGTTGATAATGGCAGAATGGTTAGATTAAAATGTAATATCACTTGATCTTCCTTTTGACCCATTTTAAAGTTGCTTAAGTTTAAAAAACAAAAGTGAAGGGGCAATACACATAGATGAAGCCTCCAGTGAATTCCCTCGGACCTTTTACAAGAACTATGAGTAACCTTGCTCTCTTACAGAGTGCCCTGGAAAGTGGATTATTGCAGATGCAGTTAGGTTAAAATTTAACACTTTATCCTTTGAGCTACCATTTGCCCCACCTTAAATTTGTTTTAGTTTTTAATTTCTTCTATACTTTTTTGTGATGGGGATTTTTCTCTATTTTACTTTGTTATTGTTAGGTTTTTTATTTGTTTTGTGTATTTTTCTGTATAAACAAGTGAAGGAATAAGTAAATCTATAGAGACAGTAACTGATTCAATGGTTTCTTGGGGGTATAACAGGGAGAGTTGGGGGAAATGGGGAGCTAATAAAAATGAGTACAAGAAAGAAGAAAATGTTCTAAAATTATGGTAATGATTGTACAACTCTTCCTAATATGATTGAACTATTTAATTCTATGATATGTGCATTATGTACCTCCCCCACCCCCCAAAAAAAGACTCAAGTCCATAGGTTATTAAAAAAAAATTTCAAATTCAACTTTGTCCCCATGTTTTATCTGGATGTTTTATTTGGATGAATTTTTAAATTGACATCTATAGAAAGGTAATCTACAAAGATGTATATGAGTATATTTTGGGATTTAATCCTGAGAAAGGTTTGGAACCGCTGTCGTGAATGCTGTGAGGTGTTCATGAAAGGGGTCTTGAGCAGTAGCAGAGACCCACTTCGGAAACTAGCAGCATGAATTTTTCTTAGAGGGAATTAGCAGTAATGATTGACTGCTGGTGAAGGGTGGAGGTGGTCACCTTCAACACACAAGGCAGGGACTCTGGGGCTAGTTGAAATGAGTAGGATCCAGGGTGCAAAGGGAAGCAACCGACCAGAAGGTGAATGGGAGGGACAGAGTCTAGCAATTTACAATCTTTGAAGGAATGGTGCTGTGTGATCATTTGGTTCAAGATCCAATGTCCCATTATAGAACTGGAACGAAATAAAGAGCAAGAGCTTGGGAGAAAAGTATCTGGATTCGAATTCTGGTTGTATTATCTTGGTCAAGTAATTTAACTTCTTTAAGCTTCAGTTCTTTATTTGTAAAGCATCACTAATATGATTTTTTACCTTTTAAGGTTATTATGAGGAATGATTGAAATAAATCATGTGAAGTAGGTAAAGTGTGTTTGGCATATAGTAAGCCACCAGTAAATGTTTCCTGTATTTTATTTTAAGTACCTTTTAGATGTATCTGTAATCAATAAACTTTAGTGCCTTAGAGACTATTAAGTTAAAGAAGAAGATGGCAAACGTACATGGTATATTTTCCTCCTTTGCTGTGTTAACTGAATGCACAGTTATCTTACCCTCGAAGTTGTAGTTTGTGCAACCTTCATATTTAAGGTTGTTTTCTTTAGTGTTGTTACAAGAAAATAATTATCCTGCTCAAGTCATGTCTGTCTCCTCATTTTCCCCCTAGGTGATCATGCTTTTGGATTTTCATAGTTTGAATAATTCCTACGGGCTCTGCCACCCAGCAAGTTAAAGAGGACAAGATTTTTTCCCTGGGGATTGTGGTTCGGGGAACGTGAGCAGCTTGTTTTCATGAGATCTGCACCTTGATCGGGCCTCCCACTAGGAGCACTTGGGATGGAGTTGACTTTGTTATACTTGTTTCTTCCATCTTACACAACATTTTGTAATGTGTTTCTTATATAGTGATTTCTGAAAAGTGAATGCTTATGGGAAAGTTTTGCTTATACAAAGAAGTATTAAAACTATCTTAAAGTAATTACTCATGTTGATATTTTTCTCCTTTAACATAAATAAAAGTATTAATTGATATAATTTAGAAAGAAAATGAAGACTGAGGAAATGCCTGTGCTCTTATTGCCTTAAAATAACATTATTCTGTTTGAATGGCGCCTTGTAAGGAATTACAGTCTCATACACAATTGACTTAAATGCATTCTTTATCTTTAAAAGGAAGCAAAATAGGATCACTGAGTAAATCACATGTGTTCACAGTCTTGCTAGTGTAATCTTATTCTACACAAACACAGCATTCTGTATCAAGAGGGTAAGGGGACATCTGAGGTAGGATTTGCTCTTGACGAAACTTCTTTTTCTGTTTAAAGAATAGTGCAGTGAATGCCTGCATGGTAGAAGGTAACGGAAAATATCTTCCCTGCCTTTCACTACCTTTATAGGGTCTCATTCTCCTTTTTCTCTAAGGACACCTCTTGTAATACTATTCTGTAAAACTTATAGGTACATAGAAGGCATATCATATTTCATTTATAATTTTTGTTTGATATAATTATAGCTCTCTTATATCATGGTGTTGCAGAATTTTTAATTATGAAAGATGAAATTATGTTCTAGAACTATTAACTGACATATATCTAAAATATAAATATTTTAACTCTTAATTTATTAAAATTACATATTTGGATGTTTAATAGCCTTTATTAGGTACAACTTAAAAACTAAATATAATACTAAACAGGGATGTTTAAAAAGATGAATTTAAGTTTCTATTTTTTACATTAATGACAGATTTCTAGAATACTTTAAAATGGAAAATCAAACAGATGGGCAGTTAAGACATCATATTTTAAAAATTAGTGTGGATATTTATTTTGCTCATATACTTCGGAAAGTGCTAATTGATAGTTGAATAAAATGATAAAGTATCTTAGAATTAAGATTAAAACAGTAAAAAACATAGAACTAAATAATTATCTTAAGAGCCTTATAAAGAACCAAATTTAGTATCTGCATCAATTCAGTTTGATTTTTATGGGGTGTAATGGTTTTTAATGCCATCCTTTCACATGTGAATGCTAATCTGACCATAAGCAACAGTGATGCGGGATTTTGAAAGAGTCCAAACAGGTTGAGCATTTCAAACGTATTCACCATTTTGGTAAGTTTTCCTTTTTAATCGATGCTATGGACACAATTAAAAATTCAAGTTTTTAGTTCTTATTATTAGGCCTCTTATAATATTATTTTGTATTTTCAACTTTATCTCCTGATTTGGCCCTGGGTTTGCTTTTGAAATTTGTGCTTGTTTGTTTGCTTGTTTTAAGCCTTTCTATTATGAAACTTTTTAAACATATCTAAAAATAAAGCAAATGACCTGTCAGACCCCAAGTTCCATTTGAGAATTAAATGATAAGTTAGTTCAGTTAGTGCTTTTATTTGTGCACAGATGGTCAGGAACTCAAGAAATGCTTGTTCCTTATTGTACATTTGAAAAAATTTGTTTAATCAGATTTTCAAAAAATATCTGACCACTTTCCAACCTGTATGACAGATGGTTTTGGGTCAACTCCCAGGTACCTAATTCATAGTTAGGGGAAACCTATCTACCATTTTAAATATCATTTTAATGAGAAAAATAGAGAATAGTGATGGTTCAATGGTAGAATTCTTGCCTTCCATGTGGGAGACCTGCTTCAATATTAAGCCAGTACACCTCAAATAGTTTGTCAATGGAGGCTTGTATGTTGCTGTTACTGAACAGCTTTCCCATGAAACTTCCAGATTAAGGCAGACTAGGGAGAAAGGCTTGGTGAAATCCAGGCAGTGAAAATCCCATGGATCACAAATCCAATTCCATTGTGTATAGAGTCCTCCTGAGTTGAAGGCCAATTCATTGTCTGCTAACAGCAATGAGACAAATTCTCATTTGCACTGGAATGCTAGAGACCTCCACCAGCTGTGTTCCCCTCTCCTCTGAATGGCCGTAGAGAAGTCCAGAACTCCTGCAGTGGGAACTATGAATTCTCTCAAAAAGATGTTAAGAACTCAGAGAAGACAGTGCCTGGGGTTAGGGAGCATGTATTTTATATTGAAATTGGTTATCACTATCTCTCCGCTGCTAGAGGTTTTTCTTTTTTGGGGGGTGGGGTGGGTGTGGGTATTTAATTTGTTTTATTGGCTATTCGTGTGGACCATAGCATACTTTAGCTAATATTGAGAAGAATGGGAATTCCAGAACACTTCATTGTGCTCATGGAGAAGCTGTACATGCAACAAGTGGCAGTAGTCACAGCAGAACAAGGGACTACAGTGTGTTTTAAAATAACAAAGGAGTTCATCAGGGTGGTATCCTTTCATCATACCTATCCAAGCTGTGCCGCTAAGCAAATAATCCAAGAAGCTAGACTATATGAAGAAAATCTCGGCGAGACCATATGAAGAAAACCTGCTGCTGGTAGGTGCCATCACGGATTGGGGTAAGGCTTCTTAACAATGTGATATGCAGGTGACACCACTCTGCTTTCTGAAAGCTAGGAGGGCTTGAAGCACTTGCTGGTGAAATTCAGAGTGCAGCATGGATTGTAACTCGATGTAAATAAAAGAAAAATCCTCATAACTGGAACAATAGGTAACATCATGAGAAACAGAGAAAAGCCTGAAGTTGTCAGAGATTGCCTTTTCCTGAGATTGATAATCCGTGCTCATGGAAGCAGCATCCAGGAAACCAAATGATGCATTGCATTGGATGAATCTGCTGCGTAAGAACTCTTTAAAGTGTTGACGAGCCAGGATGTCACCTGACCCAAGCAATGGTGTTTTCAGTCACTTATGTGCATGAGGAAGTTGGACAAAGAATTAAGACACGGAAGTAGAATGTAGAATGAGTACATGTGGATTATGTTATTGGTGAAGAATATTGAAAGTACCCTGGACTTCCTGAAGAACAATCAAATTTGTCTTGGAAGAAGTACAGCCAGAATACGTCTTAGAAGCAAGAATGGCAAAACTTTCTCTCATTGACTATGGGCATGTTTGCTGATAGAATTGTTATTGTTTGATTTTGCTTTTAAAAAACACATCTTTATAAGACAAAAACATTTTAGAGACTTAAATAGTGGGCTTATGATTTTTTTTTTTCTTGATTAAGCTTCTGATATAAAGGGGAATTTATTTTATGGGCCAAGACATGTCTGAAAATTAGAAAACATTCCTAGAAGTTAAAGCAGAAAATTAAAATACAAGCATAGTTACTAAATTGCCAATAAGCAAATGTTACATTGTTCAGCTGGTGCTTACAATGAACCTATAAGTGATATTAACCTTTTAGAGTACCTGGGAATGACAGAAAAAAAGCAGAGAGCAGAAAAATGAGTCCCAGCTTTTATCATGCCAAACTGTATTACTCTTCCTCTTCCTACTTTTCCAGGCCCTTCTCAAAACAAGACCTGAGAGGCACAGAACTGTGTTAGTCCACATCTCCTCTGTACACACAGCACATGCCCATTGCCACTGAGTAACATCGACCCGATAGAGGGTTTCAGAGGCAGTGAATCTTCATAGGAGCAGACACCCTCATCTGTGTACCAAGGAGCAGTTGGTGGATTCAAACCAACAGCCTTGCAGTCAGCAGTTCAACACCTACTAGTGCCACTAGAACTCAATATATGCTGCTGCTTTTTTTTAAATCACAGCAAGTTTTTATGGATAGAACAATAGGAGTAGGATTCAGAAAGTGTACAGTAACTTTAAAAGGCCAGCTCCGAGTTAGTATCTGTAAATATGTTTGTGATCCTGAGCAGATACTTTAACCTCCTACTATAATCTATAAAGTGAATGATTGAACTAAACAGCCCTATTATATCTAACTCTAATAGTCCCATACTGTGAACAGTTAGAATCCACTCATCCTAGATCCTCTAAGTCTTCACATGTTAAAATGGTGTGGCTGTAACCTTGTCAGCTAATACAGGCTCAAATCTTACATCCTCTCCAGAGAATGTGTATCCCTCTGAGTCACTTGACAGCAAGCCCATAAAACTAGCAGGTTTTATTTTCCAGAGGGAATAATGTCAGTATCCTTCATACGGAGACTCAGTCATACTCAGAGTCAGGCTGCTAAAGGTACTGCAGCACGATGCACCCCAGCTTCCTGTCTGTTCCATACTCTGTAGCAGATAGAGGAGCCTGCTGTGTGTTGAGTACACAACATCTCTGGACTCCCCGGCGATCTGATGGCAATGCTGGTGGGTAGCCCCCCTCCCACACCTACTAAAACAGAAATTCTGAAATGGGATCCAGGAATTGACCTTTTAGTAGGTCCTATAGGTGCTTCTAATGAACACTACAATTTGAGAGCCATTGGCCTAGGAATGTGAAAGATGTGCCCACATGTTCCACATTGGCTTAGAATCAGCCTGCAAAACTACCTGGGGCTTGGTTCTGCTCACTTCCCTTCTTCAACGTAGTGATGCAGTTAAAGATGAAGGTAATTCTCCCAACCAAATCTCGAACTTCATTTTACCCATGAAAACTCTTAGAAAATGTTGGGCATATAACAGATGGTAATGGTGATCAATGTTTTTAAAAACCTCATTTATAATTAGAGTCATTGGAAATCATTTAAAAGTCTCCATAATGGTTAAAAACAAACTCCATAAGGATTGGAAACAATACTGACCCATGTTCTTAATACTATCATATTGATTCTGACATAACAACCCTGTAGGAAGGACAGGGTAGGCTTGCCCCTGTTGGTTTTTTGAGGCTGTAAATCTTTAGGGGAACAGAAAGCATCATCTTTCTCTATAGGAGCAGCTGGTGGTTTCGAACTGCTTACCTTGTGATTAGCAACCCAACATGTAACCCACTACACCATCAGGGCTCGATGACCAATGCTCATTCACAATTCTCTCCTTGGGTAATACAATCCATAAATAGTCACTTTTGTCAATTAAATGAATACTTGGATATATTCTAATACATTCAAGACCTAAAGCACAATACAGCAATTACAAATGAATT